CGCGGCCCGCGCGCGCGACGCGGCCATGGAGGACGCGGGAGCAGCTGGCCCCGGGCCCGAGCAGGAGCCCGCGCCCGAGCCGGACACTGGCATGTCCGAGGCGTTCTCGCGACTTTGGACGGATGTGATGGGAATTCTGGTGAGTTACCTGGGGAAGCGGGGAGGCACGAGGAAGAAGCAGCAGAGCCTGCAGACCAGGGCACCCCTCCGAAAGTGGGAGCCGGCCACGCCGCTCATCTCGGTGCTTCTCTCGCTCTGGCTCTTCGAGGGTTAAATACCCACGGTCTAGGATTTCAAACCCTAATTAAAAAGTAACCGGCCACACATGACGTCGAGAGTGTTTCTTAAACGCTCGGGTATAGTATTCAACAGTTTAGTCTAGGACACCTGCTGAGAAGTTGACTTGGAAAAGACAAAGATTTCTTCAGAGTGGATGTAAATAAAGATTGTTGGGCCGTGGACTTTCGGTTGGGCTTGGGAAAAGCTGATGTTACTGATGTTTATCTCCTCACCGTTTGCTTGACCAGGGGAGGAAAAGCACCATTTCCTTACTCAGAACCGCCAAAGTTGACTGTGTGTTTGCAGTTTTTCAGTGTTTAGAATTACAGGATATTTGTTGTTAAATGTTTGGACTAGAAACAATGGGACTTATTTTGCTAAATCTGTGGTGTCATGTATTTTGAAATGTCCAGTAACTAAAAACGCCCATGGATTTGGCATAATTTCTGAAAATAGTTCTTCTAGATGGAGGCAGAAGCTTTAACCTGCTCAGGGTGTAGTGCCTTGGGGAATTAGTGGATTGGCTTTGGTGGGGCTCTAAGTGTACCGGGAGGTGAGGAACAGAGGGCAGGGATTATTACAGTAAGACATTTTAATCCAGACATCAAAAGGTCAGTTTTAGTTTAAAGACTTTGAAATTGCCAGTTGTGCAGATCATCAAAAAAGTCTCTGGATTTACTTTGAAATGTTTTATTTTTCTAGTAAGAAGAGGGGTAGCTCTGAGAAACTCTGCTTTGGGATGGTGCACAGTGTACTGTTTTTTGCACAGTGATTAAGTTCTTCAGCTTTGGACTGAGTTTGCTCAGGTGAAACCCAGCTCTTTAATGGACTGTCTGCATGATTTGGCCAAGGAATTTAACCCCTTCGACCCTCAATTTTATCATCTGAGAAAAGAGGAAAGGAATACTAGCTTCTTGGGTTTTCGGAGATTTAGCAAAGTTGATGTGCTCAGAAGAGTGCTGGTCATGTAGTAGGTGCTCAGTAAATGATAGCCCTATCTCTGGTTCAAGTCCCAGTTATTATTCCATCATAGGTGTCCCTTGGCAAGTATGATTATTACTATTCAGAGAACCAGGGAAGCTTGGTCAAAGCTTTCTACCTGCTGTTCTCACTCTGATATTAAAAAAGTATATAGATCGTTTGAATTAAAAAGAAAAGAAAAGAAAAGAAACTCCTTTTTTGCAGTATCTGAGCATTGTAGATGGATATGCTTCTTCACTGAAACCCAGGAAAACAACTCAATGTGTCTAAATGATCTTTCAAGATTGTTTTTCAAGTTCACCAAGCAGGAAGCCTGTCTTGTTTCTTGGTTAGATCCTGCTCAGCAACTCTTCAGTCACTGGGAAAATGGGTTCAGTCATTGTGTGGGATTTTACACATAGCATCCCTTACTAGGGTGTGGACTGAGGGGACCCAATGGGTTGGTGTAAATCGAAGTGTGGGCTGAGAGTTGTCCTGGGGGGTTAGCAGATGGCACTTTCTGAAGATTGTCGTTCCCTTCTCCCGCAGATCCCAGCGCTGTGGGGTCAGTTGTAGCAGAGTGTTCTTTGGTGACTTAAAACATGGGGTGGACCACAAGGAGTTCAAACCTGTTACTCAAAGGGCAGATGCAAAGAAAATAGGGGCTTCTTACAGAGTTAGTGATTCAGCCTGAGGATGGGAAGAATGTACAGCTTCCCCCCACAGGTTATGGCCACTTAACTTTCCCCATCCTTTATACAGTCTTATTTGGGTCACTGTCCCCATTCTTTATATAGTCTTATTTTCCTTGACTTGGGTGATAGAGTTATTTCTCAGGAAAACTTAGATGAGGAAGACTGCCTTAGTTCTCCTTGGAACATGCTTGTGGGAGCACACCAGGTTAAAGGGAGTGTCTTCATTTTAGTAGTAGAAGGCTGTCACCCAAGTATTTATGAGAAATACTTTGAGGGAGTCTATCTAAAGAAATAATACAGATAGTTGACATTCCCTGTTCTTACTGATACCAAAGACTCCATTAAGTCCAATTTATATTTAAGGTATAGGATTTTAGCCATCAACTTCAGCCTAGCTGGGTGGAGTGACTTGGCTGATGGCACATACCTTGTTAGTGACAATGTCAGGCTGGAGCCTGGCTCTCTGACCCCCACCATCAGGAGCTGAACATTTTAATACCCCATAGTTGACTGCCACAGATCAACTTAATAGAAATGGAACTTTGTCCAGTATTTGAAGTAAAGCGCCATTTGAATGATTTCTTTCAATACAGGTGTGGAGGTGAGGGGATCAGAGATGTGGAGGAATTAAACATCTAAATGCCATACTTAACAGATGTCAAGCACAGATGCCACTTCACTTTCTTAGATTCTTTTCCATGCAAAAATCGAATGTCATAGCCTGTTAGATAAATTTGTTTTTAGGTGAGTGAGCACAGTAACCTTTTCTGACAGGACAGAGCAGTTAGAGGGGTTTTGTTGGAAACCAGGGAAGGGTACTGCCCAAGAGTGGTAAACCCAAACCCAAACACGTTGCCGTGGAGTTGATCCCGACTCATCATGATCCTATAGGACCAAGCAGATTGCCACTTCTTTTTCCTGTTGAACAGCTGGTGAGTTTCAACCATTGACCTTTCAGTTAGCAGCTGAGCAATTAGCCACTGCGCCACCAGGGCTTCTTCCAAGAGCCCTAGATCTGGGTTAATAGGGACTGGTTGTTTGAGTTCATTAGGACACATTTTGCATTTTAATTCATTCAATGCATGCACAGTTCAACACCAAATCATTGGTTTTAGATAATTTCTTAACAAAGTGCTCATTTAAAGAAGAAATGGTACTATAATTTATGGCAGGAAAGTGTTTGACTAGTGCTAGAATGAACCTTGGGTTCTTATATGAATGCTAATAAGTGGCTATATAAATAGATATCAAATTAAGAGAAAATGAGCTTTACAAAAATATAGATTGTGAGTGCCTGGAGGGCAGGGCAGGATCTTATTTATTTTTCTATCTCCAGAAACTGCGTGGGACTTACTGGAGAACGTGGCCTTGTTGAGTGAAAAAGGGAAAAAGTATGTACATCTTAAATGCAGAGGAAACAGCATGACACAGCTCTGTAATAATGAGTGTGTTTGTGAAGATGTTAGTAAATTCTGCCCCTGCTGAAGCTGCCATTTGGGCAGTTTCATCATCCAAGCTGAAATCCCAACCCTTCCGCAGGAAACGGTAATGATAACTTGCGCACTGGTTGCAAGCTCTTAGCAGTGAACGGTGGCGCTCTTCTGAGATGTGCTGTTTTATTCACGAAGTCTCAACCTGTGGGCTTTCTAAGAGGTTTTCTGAGCATAGCACCTTTTGGTGTGACAGGCTCTGGCATCTGCTGAGAAGTGTAAAATGAGTTAGAATCTTGTGGGATTTTACACTTTTATCTTTCACTGCGTGGTTGCAGACATAACATTCTTTTTGGGGAGGGTGGCTGTTTTTGAGAGTAGGAATTGCCAAGGTTACTGGATATGGTAGATCATTAGTTTCCTAGTTTCCTGATGACCCTTTTCGTAAATTCTGATGGTTCTTTAACTTCTGCTTCCAGAATCGGATGACCTGTCAGTTGGGGCCTGGCCCACAGGGCCAAAACCAAATCAGACTCATTGCCCTGGAATCTGTTCAACTCATAGCGACCCCTCCTTGGGTTTCCCAGACGTTATCTCTAGGGAAGTAGATTGCCCAATCTTCCTTTAAAGGAGTGCCTGGTGGGTTTGAATGGATAGCCTTCTGGTTAGCAATCAAATGCCTTAGGCACTACATCACCAGAGCTCCTAGCCCGCAGGACACTTGGTCTTTAAAGCTACTTAACTGTTAATAAAGGAGCACTGTCTAAGACATTTGACTACTAACCAGAGGTTGATGGTTCAAATCTACCAGCCATTCTGTGGAAGGAAGTTGAGGCAATGTACTTGCGTAAAGATTTACCACCTTGGAAACCCAATGGGGGTCACTATGAGTCGTTTTGTTTCTTTGTTTTAGTGGGCTGCTAAAAGAGCTCTGGCGGTATAGTGGGTAAGGCATGTGGCTGCTAACCAGAAGACCAGAATGTCAGCAGTTCAAACCCACCAGCTGTGCCCAAGAAGGAAGACAGGGT